TTACTAGCGTTAACTTGAGCAAGTTTTTGCTCAGTGTCCTCACTTGTAAAATGGGGTTAATCATGTTGAGCGAAGGCTTGTTGGAAGGGTGAAGCGAGAGAGAGGAAACAAAAGTGCTTTCTAAGCTGCGAAGCACTCACGAAGCGCTTCTCTTTTTGTGGCTACACGATGCGGTGGAGAGCTGAGAGCTGGGCTGGTGTGTCTTTAGGGATGGAGAATGCAACTCAGGTGGCCCCGGAGCTGCCTGATTGCTAATTAATGTGCTGTGTGGCAGCTGAAAAGGGAAAAGCCTCCAAAAACCAGAAAAAAGATGTGATAATTCAGGCCTTATGATTTTAGTTCCTCATTTTATACTTTCTTAAAGAATGATCAGCGAAACTCTAGAGCCTGTCATTCAAACCCAACAAAGCCATTCTACACTCAATTAATTTAATATGAAAGATAGAGTGGGCCATTAATCTATCGGCGAGCAGCAGTCTTTGATAAAACACCCAAATTAAATTCTCCAAGTTAGAAAAAAAGAGAATTAGCCCCTTTAGTGTCATTTGAATACAGTTAGTTATTCAGTTCAACAGAGAATTCAGTTAGTTATTCAGCCGGAGCTCTGACTTCTGAGAATGTATCAGGCACAGAAATTCATTTCATAATTTTTCAACGGAGAACTTGTAGGAGTGTGGAGTTAGATAACATCTAGTTAGTTGCCCAGAGATTTAGAGATGAGCCAGCATGACTTGACAAATGGTACTGTTTATAAACATTGGACATCTATTATCATTGTTATTTGGTTAGAATGTAAGTAGGGTTTGGGGGCTGTCGGACTTGTGTTCACCCCGGGCCTCTTGAACTGTGCGATTTCGGTTGTGGCCCTCAGCCAGCAGCCACGCGCTAGTTGGCCCAGCCCTTGCCAGCCTGCTGGTAGAGCTGAGTGAGAAATGTGGGCTCAGGCCCCCGCTGGGGTCCAGTGCTGTGGGTTCCATTCCCCTCTCTCTTAGGAAGCAGTGTGTTCTGGGGTCTGGGTTTAACGTCAGTGATTCTAAAATGCTGTAGGCTTGAGACAAACAGAACCTGGAGGGGCTTGTAGGGGTGGCGTCTGGCCTGGGGGCGGAACAGAGCGGAATTTCAAGGTGGGAGGACAGCTACAGGAGAGGACAACAGATGGGATGGGAAATAGTGCAGTTTCTCCTTGGCCATAACTAATTTGAAGTGCTTTCCAAACTCTAGGTGCCATATATTTTTGGTATTATAACTCGGAAAAATGCCAACCTGAGCCCCCAAGTGGCCGATCTATGCCCCACTTAGGGTTCCCTCTCCTCTTCAGTGGCTCAAGCATCCTGGGGTCTTCATGTTTCCCACACTGTGTGGAGAGCGTTGGGTCTTAAGGAACTTCTGCAGTTACTCCCGGAGGCCACAGGGGGCCACTGTTGGCAGCCATCGGGCATAGCCAGCAGGACGAGGATCAGAAACCCTGGGTCGGGTTGAGTGAGCCCCTTCCCTTGGCCCAGGTTTCACTGTGGGGGAACTTCACTTACTTTCCCAGAGGTTCATCTCTCAGGGTCATCGTCACGAGTGCCAAACCCACCCATTCTTCCAGGTGACCGTGGCTCCAGCCGGCTGAATTGCAAAAGGCCTGTGTATTCTCTTAAACATCGGGGCCGCCCGTTCCTCCTTCTCAGGGGTCAAGAGGCCTCCCCTGTGCACAGAGTTTTCATTTTTCCCACTCCCTACCCAGCCCCCACCCCTACACCACTCCCCACCTCCGCCCAGGCACAGACCCTTTCTAAAGGTGCCATTCCAGCCTCCTCATCTCCCAGGAAACACCATAAAACCACACTAGATAATATTCAATGAACCTCTGCCATGTGCCAAGGACCGTGCAAGCCCCTTCTATGGACGATCCCATTTATGTCTCAAAGCAGCCCTATGAGGCCCTCATTTTGCAGACAAGGAATGAAAGTGCAGATAGGGTATCTCCAGCTGCCCAAGACCACATGGAGAAGAATTTAAACACATCTACACACATCCACAAGTTAAATCTTTACTGACGTCTTTCCCTATATTATAGGATTCTTCATTCATTTCGGGGAACATTCCTCTGTTCCCCCAAGGGATTACTACAAATTGATGTTGCTTTGAAGCATTCGGTTTTTCTGTAGGATATGGCTGGGTCATCTGAATTCTATAGGGCACCGAGTCTTTTCTGTCTGAGCAGGGGAGCGGGGAGGGCCTGGCATTTATGAGCTGACCCAGGGTTGGTCTGAGTCAGTGACCACAGCTGCAGAGAGGCAAGTTTGTAGCATGGTGGGTGCTTGGTGGAGCCAGAGCGAAGTGTGTGTGTGTGTGTGTGTGTGTGTGTGTGTGTGTGTAAGCAGAGCAGGGGAGAGCTCAGAGGCCCAGTGAACTGGGAGAGAGGAGCGGGCCGGGTTCTTCTTAAGGGCTTCATCTGCCAGGCCAAGGTGTCTGGGGAGCCACTGAAGGCTTTTGAGGAAGAGAATGGCAAGATTAGAGCTGGACTTCAGGATGGATTTAGTCTCTTTGTGACAAATGGGTCAGTGTCTCACCTGAGTTCCAAAAACCTGTCTTCCTAGTCTGCATACAATTTCTCTCTGCAACCTGTCACTGAATGTTACTGTCTCTCAGGGGCTGTAAACTCCACAAGTCACTGGCCCCACTAGGGAATGAGCTTCTAGTGATTAGTTTGCAGTCTAGTGACTGCAGAGCCCATCCCTGGGTGTCTTGACCTTGTTGGAGCCTCTCACCCCAATGCAAGGCAAGTATTACGGTGTTCTCCGTATCTGAACTTTACAGATGAGCCAGCTGGGCACCGAAACCCAGGTTTTCTCCCTAAAATGGCCTCCTTCTTCTTCTTTCTTTGGAAAATTCCCATTGATCTTCTCAGACCTGGTCAAATTCTCTCTTCTGTGATGGCTGCCTGCTCCCTAGCAGGATGTGAGTGCTGCTGTCCCTAATGTCTGCCAATACCTTATCGGTCCTTTTTAAAATGATACTACTTTCTTTTCATTATGGTAGAGATATTTCTTTGGTTTTATTTTTCTAGCTTGGCTCTGAGAAAGAAGGGTCTGCTTCTCTGTTATCTCTGTATCCAGCTCAGGGCCTAACGCAAAGTTAAATACTTAATTGGGTGCAATCAGTCATCCAAAAATATGTATCACCTGCCGTGTTCTTGCCACTAGAATACAGCAATGAACAGACCAAAGAAAATGCTCCACCTGCCCTCGAGGAGTTCACAGCCTAGTGGATATTCTGCGTGTGACACCCACGAGGTACACTTCCATAAATACCTTCTGAGGGACAGACTTCACACTGCCTTCCTCTGATCTGGGAGATGTTATGTTCCCAGGAGGGGTTCTTTGAGAACTTGTGAAGTAGAAATGCTTTCTTACAGGACCAGGGCAGCTGACCTTTAGCCCCCAAATGCTAAAGGAGAGCACAGCTCTTGGGGGGTGCCTGCTATGCGTGTGTTGAATGGTGTTGGAGTAGACACAGACTAAGATTTTACTCCAGGAGGAGAAGGCGACCTGCGGGGGTCCGGGACAATCATTAGCCCGGCACAATTAGAAGAAAAAGGCCACCTTCAAGAGTTCTCTACAAAAGGATTGGGTTTTAGAAGCAGACAGGGGCCCGCCAAGATGCAATCACACTACAGAATAACTGGTTTTAATTCTAGACCTTGTCTCCAATAAGTTTTGCTGCCTCTCCTGCAATTTCCCAGTTCCAGACCTCCCTTTTGAGTTTTAGAAGCAGCAACACAGAGATGTCTTTTCAGGGCTGCTTGGCTGAGACAGGGCACTTTGTGAGGAGCACAAACAGACAGAAGGTGGAGAGAGGGGTGTCTTGGAGTCTTGTAATTTGTACAGTTACCAAAAGATCCTCTTCCCTCTCTCTCTGACACACTCACCCAGCAGCACCCAAGGTTATAGGAAACAAAAAACAAACGGCACCAGAATTGGGACACTAACATTTCCAACAACTTACCTGTGGTGGCAGAAAGGATGGTTTGTGGCCTGGTCCACTAACCCAGGTGGACAAATCTCTGTCCTTCCTTGGGCCTCAGTTTCCACATGAGGAACATGAGGAGGTTGGACCAAATGGTCCTTATTTTTGGGGAGACAGGGTCTCACTATGTTGCCGAGGCTGGTCTTGAACTCCTGGGCTCAAGGGATCCTCCTACCTCAGCCTCCTGAGCAGCTGGGATTATAGGCATGAGCCACAGCACCTGGCTGGACCAGATGGTATTTAAATGCTCCTTTGGCTTTTTGCAGGAAAGAGCTCTGGTGTCAGATACACAGGGTTTTAAATAGAAGGGAGCTTGGGGATGGGGTGGGGCATGTGGTGGGAAGAGCCTCATGGGTTTTAGAACCAGGTACGCCTGGTTTCCATTCCTGGCTCTGCCCCTTATTAATTTAACTTTGTGCAAGTTACTTAACTTTTCAGAGGCTGGGTTTCCTCACCTATAAAGCAGAAAAGTGATGGGCCTTTCCTGGGTGGTTGGGGAAGTTTCTATAGTGAGATGATGCTTGGAGAGCGCAGAGCCCAGGGCTTGGCACAGAGAAAGCCGGCAGTCAGTGCGGGTGATGGTGGTGTGTGGAGATGCAGACCACCTTGACAGGTGCCCTTGAGGCTGGGCAGGTGGGCACAGGGTTTGAGAAGCTGCTTTGAGCAGGGCACTCCCAGGAAGATGGAGATGGGCATTTCCAGCTAAAGGTTATTAGATCGTTCTGGAATGGAGTCACAGCAACAGACAACTCTCAATTGTCACGAGTGTCCTTACCTCCATAGGGACAGGCTTGCCCTAGGGCTGCTGTTAGGGCCATTCCTGGGCTGGGAGACTCCAGGCAGCCTCTGTGGGTCTGAGTGGCCGGTTCTGTGTGGATCCTGGGACTCCAGGTGAGTCCTGGGGCTCCTGGACTCAGCCCGGTCCTGGCCCATGCAGGGCTCGGCCTGGGCTGCAGGTCGGGCCAACGCTGTCTCCCTCTTTCCAGTGCGCCGGTCCAAGGCTGCTGACGAAGAGAGGAGCCGCCGAGCCCGGCGCGCCCGGGACGAGTACCGGCGCCACTCGCTCCGCGCCATCCAGAAGGGCACCGTCGCCGGCCTCAGCTCCATGTTCCGGGGGCTCGGCCAAAGCCATGAGCAGGAGGCAAGACTCGACCACCACCTGCCGGGCCCGGGGCCGCCACAGTCCCTCCCTGTGCCGGTCAGGTGGGTCGGGCTCTGCGGTCACGTGGCTGGGGGCGGGCCTTGGACTGCGGCAGGTGCCACCGGGGTTCCAGTCCCGGTTCTGCCCCAGACTTGCATTGAAATTGGACGTCAATGTCCCCGTCTGTTAATGGGGTGGGAGGGGCAGGAGCGAGAGGTGTGAGGGTTGGAGATTTCTAATAACTTTGGAGCTCTGGGAGTCTTAACCTTTTTGGGATCAAGAATTCCTTTGAGAATCTGAAGAAAGCTGTGCATCCCCCTCCTCCTGAGATGTGCACATATAAATACCCCAAAATGCTCGCATGCAATTTTACTCTTAAAGGTCCACGGACCCCAGGTTAAGAACTTGGAATGAAAGACCTTAAATGGGTTAAATATGGCCCAGCAGCCTGGAAACCGGGGCTCGCTGCCTTTCGCACCCACAGGCAGCACTGCTTTCTCTCCAGTTGGATTAACAGGTTTGCGGTTTAGTGTGGCTGAGTGCAGGAGGGTCCCCACACACATTTGTGTCCCCAAAGGGTTTGTTTGGCAAGGGCACTTAGGTGACTGCCCACGATTGCCAGGACCAAAGGTCAAAAGGTCACAGGGAGCCTCTCCACCTCCCTCCTGTGCCCACCTCAGGCCAGCCCGAGGTTTGACCCCTCTCCTCTCAGGTGCCGCCTGCTCCCATCATTGCGGATTGAGCACCTGCCGGCTCCCTCAGCCACAGGCCGTCTGCCCAAGAGTCTGTCGACCCCCAGATAACCAGGGGTTGTCTGGGTTTTGCTTTAATTGGGATTTGGGGTTATTCATATAACCCTCTTCTCCCTCTCCCTTCAGTCTAGGGAGAGCTGACCCTGACTTCATTTCTTCCCTCTCTCCTTCCCGCCCCTTCCTTCCTTGTCATGTATGTGGTTCCCAAATCACAGAATTTAAAAGGGTCTACCCGGAAAAATCCCACCCCTTCCCTTGTCCTCCGTCTGCTCAGTTCCCTCTGCCCCCACGGGTAACTACTGTTCTTGGTTTCTGCCGTATCCTCCCAGTTTCTTTTTGCAGTTGCCAACGTGAAAAACCTTATCCCACCCCACTTTTTGCATAAAAGTTTGCATATTATACATGGGGTTATGCACTTTTCCCCCCATTTAACTGTTTTTAGAGGTCTTTTCGTATCAATTCTTAGTTTGTTAATTTAATTTTATTTAGGTTATTTTTAACAGGTGCATAGTATTCTACTGCATGGATGTGCTATAATTTATCAAAAACTCTGTATTAACGGACATGGACATTGTTTCAAATCGTTGGTTGTCGCCAACAGTGCCCTTAATGAACAACCTTGCAGAAGTTCATTTTATACACATGTGACTATTACCTGCAAGAGGAATCCCCAAAAGTGGGATTGCGGGGTCGGGGCTGTGTGCATTTATGATATTGATCCAGTCATCAGCTTGCCCTCCACACGGGTGGCAGCGGTTCACACTCTCGTCCCTCAGCCTTGCCGACAGTGTCGTGGTAAACTTATGTTTCTTATGAGAAATAGTATCTCAGAGCATTAAACTTGCATTTCTGTTTATGAATGAGATTAAGCATTTTGTATATATTTAAGGGCCACTGGTATTTCCTTATCTATCTGTTCTTTCTTCTACCCTTTTTTTCTAAATTGTGTTATTGGTCTTTTCCTTTTCGATTTCTAGGAATTCCTTAACTATTAGGGAGGAGGGTCCCTTTGTCTGTGATAAACGTTTTTTCTCATTTTGTCATTTATCTTTTGACTTGAGTGATGGAATTTTCTGTCATGCAGAAATTCTTGATTTTTATGAGGTCAAATTTCCTTTTATGTTTTTTAGATTTGGGGGGCATTATTGGAAAAGCCTTCTTCCTCTCTATGCTTTTAAAAAGAAGCTTCGAATTTATCCCTTGGACCCACCTGACAGAGCCACATAGGGACCCTGTGCAGCCTGGTTCTAGGCCGGCTGTGTGGTCACTAGGGGAGGCGGCAGATGGGGAAGAAGCCATGAGCACAGAGCTGCAGACCCAGGCCCGAGAGGAGCCACCCACCAGCCTCCCTCTTGTGGCTGCCCCAAGGGACAGACCTTGTGGCCTTTCTGCTCTCAGCTTTGTGGCTCTTGCACTGGCCTGCACCCCTGCCTGTCAGTGCTGAAGGGTGGTAGCACGCTGCTGATGGGAGGGGAGTTCTAGGTGCAGGGGTGAAGCTTCTGGCCAGGGGCGGCTTGGAGCAGCCATGCTAGCCTAGCATTCGTAATCTGAGGAAATCAGATTCCCTGCTTAGGAATTCTCTGCTTAGAAACAAATTCAAATCCACTGCTGAGGAACAGAGGGACAAGAGTGAGTGAATTTTTTTTGCTGTTATTTATAACCTCCAATTGCCTTCTAAGGAGAGTAAGTCCTAGAAACTAGAGGATCTCCCCCCACCCCCTGTGAAAAAATAACACACAGTTATTTTTTCAGGCAATGCAAATGTGAAGGAAGAGGCTGGGTGGGGCAGGGCTGCCCTGTGCTGCTTAACAGAGAGGAGGGCATCTGAGTTCCTGAGAGGGAAGGGGGAGGATGCCGCAGGCAGAAGGCCACTGTAGGGCTGGAGGGTTAAAGGAAGCCCGGAGAGGCATGAAGGGAAGACAGGGTTTGGAGGCAAACTCAAGGGATGATGGCTTTACGCTGTGGAATGTAACCTCACTTTCTGTTTTTCTTCCAGCATCTTTTCTTAAATCTACAGTGTTCGCTATTGTGTGTATGTGCGTGCGTGCACGAGTGTGCAGGCGTGCGTGTTTAAGTGTATTCACCTTAGGGCAAGTAAAAATAAGCCAAGTGGATTCATTTTGGGTCTTGCAAGGAGGTGTGCTGAGTCCAGCGTCAGAGTGTTGGCACAGGGCAAATACGGACACTACACAGGAGACAGCTGGCATTTATTTTACAAAGAACAAGGACAGCAGCGGTGAATTCTAAATGCCAGTACTATTAGGTGGATAGCAATGATAAAATAAGAATTAACCGGGCTTCTGTCACTCAGGTGGAGATGGCAAGGAGGCTGTGGCTCACCAAGGTGGGCTGAGACCCTGCTGTTCAGATGTGTCCGTGCTATGAGTTGATGCAGCGTGGTCTCACTGCATATTAATTCAGCACGTCGTGTTGGGTGCCTGCTGTGGGTTATGTGCTGTCAAACTCTGTTTTAGTGTAGCCCGAATACAGCAGGGGTCTCGTGTGGCCCAGTCTGTGTGTGTATTCAGGAACCACAGGTCAGACACAAAAGCAATGACAATCTTGGCTTACTTGTGAGAAAACACTGAAACGGACCTGGTACATTCTCTTACATGCTTCACACGCTCCTGCTCGCTGCACTCTCGGTGCTTGCAGTCCTCGGGCATCCCTGTCTGCACGCAGCCCGTGCGCAGTGCTGTTCCCTCCCTGCTCCTTTTCCCCTGTCCTTGTCCTTTGTATTTCCTGGGTGGGGAATCTCAGCTATTTCCAGAGCACATGGGGTTCTCTGGTTTCTCTGTTCACTGTCCTGATTCTGCCTCACAAAAGGGCAGGAGCTAGTGGCAAAGGTAGGGGTCCCCTTACAGGGTGGAGAGGGGGTGATACAGGGCAGGGGACCCAGAATTCTCTTTATTGGGGATTGAGGGGTGTGGGGACACTCACATAGCAATAAATTTGTTCCTCTTCCATCTGGATGTTGATGTTCGTGCCCCGGCCGTGCCGGGGGAATCTGCCTTTCCTTTTTCTTGGGTGTCTCCTCCCAGCCTCTTTTCACTCCCACCTGTGTGGCTTTTTTTGAAAGTGGTAACAGTTTTCTTTTAGAAGAAATAATAACAGCTGGTATGTTATAATCTGAAAGTGCCCTCAAGTACCTGGGCTTGTTTAATCCCCTCCATAGGCGTGAATGTGGGCCTCACGATTATCCATTCTCTCCATGGCCTGCCCTGCCCTCCTCCTCCCTCCCCTTCTCCTCCCTCTTCCCTCCCTCCCCTCCTCCTCCCTCCTCTCCTCCTCCCTACCTCCCTCTCCCCTCCTTTCCTCCTTCCCTCTTTGCTCCCTTCTCTTTCACTCCCCTCTTCTTTCCACCCCTCCCACTCTTCCACCCTTCCCCTCTCTTCTCAGCCGCACTTGGGAGCGCCCGCTGTGTCCAGTGTCCCGAGATGTCATCGTCCGCTGGTTTAAGGAGGAGCAGCTGCCTCGCCGAGCCGGCTTTGAGAGGAACACCAAATCCATCGCCCCCTGGTTCCATGGTAGGACCGCTTTCCGGGCCCTGGGGCAGACAGTTCCCACGTCTCTGCCTCCCTTGAAGGGCGGCTGTAATCAGTGGGGTAGAGGACTTGACACCCTATGGCAGCTCCATTGTGCCCCCACCATCTCCTAGCAGGAGCCCGGGAGACTGGAGGCCCCAGGGATGCTGGGCGGGCACTCCCGCTCTCTGCCGAGAACGCATGAACATGACTTGCTCTCTGCTCTCGCCATGCAGCCTTCTTGGCCACCAAAGGCTCCTCAGAGGCGTCTTCTCTGTAGTCAGGACAGTGAGCTCTCAGAGGACCATGAGCTCCTGGCTCGGCAGGGCCCCCATCTTGCTGTCTGATCCCACATCCCCGGATCTGGCCACAGCCTGGCACGCTGCGGTCTCTGAGTGGTACTCACGGGTGAGATGACAGATGGCCAAATGAAGACAGCAGGGTCCCCCAAGCAGAATATTAGAGCTGGGAGGCTCCTTGAAGTTCCCTCCATGCCTGCCTTGCTCCCAAAGCTTTTTGTTCATTCCGCAAACGAGCCATCCTCTCCCTCTGCACCTGCTGTTGCCCTGCTTGGTTTTGCTGTTTTCTCGAGGCTCTTTGCATGGCGGCCATGGTCTCATTTTCCACCTCAAGTATCCCTCCTCAGAGAGGCCTTTCCTGAACCCCTTACCTACAGCAGCCTTCCCCAGTTTCTCTCCGTTCGCCCTGTTTATTTCCTTAGAGCACTCACCCAACCGGGACTTATCCTATTCACTTCTTGTCTGTTCTCCTACCTGCATGTGAGCCTGTGAGGCCCAGGACTTTGCCTATTTCCCGCGTGCCTGGCACAATAAGTATCCAGGGGAGGAGCGGATGAAGGCGGGAATGAAGTGTCAGAGTTGTGATTAGATCCCAGGCTTTCCCAGCCCAAAGAATAGCCCCTGCTTCTCTGCGCAGCTGTGTGGGTTCCTTCGGGGCCTGGGAGCAATCAGAAAACCCAGATCCACACACGAGAGGGTCAGGCTAGCTTTCCTGGTGGTCATGTGCTCAGCGGGGCCAGGGCCCTGTGTCTCAGGCATCTGTATGCTCAACCCTCGCACCTGCCTCCGACCTGCCCAGGTCCAGGTGCAGAAGTACCTCCAAGACAAACTCCCCATCTCCCTCTGTTGCCGCTGCTGTTGAGCACCCCGCCATGACTCATGGCAGCCCATAGTGCAGGTCAAGCTGGGCGTGGGCATGCCTCAGTGACAAATGCATCCAAAGTCTCCGTGACTCCCACCAACCAGGGTTTATTTCTTATTCATGGTACATGCCCTTTGGGAGTTGGTGGTAGACTTTAATCTGGGGCTCAGGCTGGATGAGCTGCTTCTGCTGGAAACTCTGATGGTCTCATAGCAGAGGGAAAGGAGAGACCTTCTGAACCACGCACTGGCCCCTAAAGCTTCTGCATGGAATTCACACAAGTTGTCCTTACTCATGTTCCATTAGCCAGAGCCAGTCTGGCATCCATGGTGCAGTGGGCAGTTTTGAAGGATAACTGAGTCTAATAGAACCACCATCCACTTTTAGACCTCTTCCTTCTCCCAGGTCCCCACACATCCAGCAGAGGATGGAGCGGCTCTATGTCTCAGAGAGAAGACAGATAGCACTCCTGGGTGACTGACGGAGCCAGGTGTCTCTAGAGCTGGTCCTGGGGATTTCCTGCCTCTCACTTCTGTCCCAGTGATGTCTCTGTAGCCCTTAGTAGAGCTTCTCTCTGAATCACCACTTTGCTTTTCATTGATACATTAATACAGTCACGGAAACACAGCGCTGGCATCATAGTCACCTACAGAGGGCAACTCGAATGTTGGCTTTAGGTGAGGGTTTGGCAGCTGCACTGGGCGCCCTGTGTGCTTTTGGTAGCTAGTGGAGAAGGCACGGCAGAGGTGTTGAAATTGATCTTTAGCTTTATTTTCTGCCTTGATTGAAAAAAAAAGGTAACTTTTCTATTGTCACAGAACAAACAGAATCAAGATTTAAGTCTTACAATTTATGTAGCTAATTTCACGTTCTTCTGACAGTTCTACCATAAAGCATGCGGAAAAGTTGCTAATACACAGACCGGAGCTGTTCAGTGACAGAGTTTTCATTGATCTGTGACCGAATGAAAGAAAAAGGCTCTCATACGTGAGCATCCAGGTATCTCTACTTAGGAAGGACTGTGTCGTACTCTAAGATTATAGCCTTCCCGCAGTTGTAGTGTTCCAGTGTCCTATCTTTTATGAATTGATGGCGACAGTAGGCTAGAGTGGTTATTTTTATATGTTGCCCTTGCTTGGAAAAGCAAACAGTTTGGTAGCTTTATTCATTCCTAAAATCCCAAAGTCTGAAACAAATGGTGTAGTCCAACTTCTCTCCCAGTGTAGGATTCCCTGATGGGGGAGGTAGGACTCCCTCTGCACCAATCATTAGTGACACAAGAGGCCCTCCCAAGTCTACTCTTCAGGGGCTTTTGCCGGAGGTTGGCCGGAGTCTGCTCTCTGGGGCTTGGCTGGGTGTCTCTGCTGCCGTGGCTCTGCTCGCAGATCTCTCGTGCGCCTCTGGGGACCAGCGGGCTCGCTCAGGTGCTCTTCTCAGGGCAACAGCACAGGCGCCAGAGAGCAACTGGCAGCACCCGAGGCTCTTGAGGTCCAGTCTTAGAGCCAGCCCCTTGTCACTTCTGCCTCATGCCGTTGGCAGCAATATGTCAGGGAGTTGAGGGGTGGGAAGATAGATTCTGCCTTTTTCTTATGAAGAACTGTAAAGCCACATGTCAAAGGATATGGAGACAGGGAGGCAAGAAGAATTTGAGCCGGTAATGCAATCTATCACAATCCCAATATAAATCTTTTTTTTTGCCAGGTAAAACAGTCCTACTTAATTTAGCTGGATTTTAGATGCAGGTTAAAAATGACTACCGTGACTTCTATTTTCTTCCCTTTTCTCAAACACATTTGGATGTGTGGTGGTGTAATTCAAAGAGCAATGTGGGCAAAGAGTCTGAAGATGTGGGGTCCAGTCCAGAACCCAGCAGTTCTGTGACCTTGGATGTGTCCTTTAAATTCCCCATCTCTGAAATTTGCATTATAACATCTACTTAATAGAATGCTTATGAAGATCAAGGCAGCAAGAGTACTTTGTCCATCATAAAAAGCTATGTCCACATGAGTGCTGATGTCTCCTAGAGTCTGGGGCCACCACCAGAGACCTTACTTCCTCTGGGAAACAGAGTTTGGGGAGATGGGCTCAGAGGGGAAGGGGATGGGAACTGGCTTTCTTTTGGGACCACAGCGTTCTAGATAAGGTCTCCTTTGTTAAAAAGAGCGATGGTAAAGTAATCCTTTGTTTCTCCTTTGTTCATTGTTCTATTCCAGGACTTAGAAGAGAGACTTCTCATTATATATATGAATAAAACTATTCCCGAAATAGTTTTATTTCAGGAATGTACTAGAGAAATGCTAATACACATAGGCTTGGCTTTGGGGGAAAAATCTCTTTTTGGACATGGATATGCATCTAAAATTGTTAAGAATATCCTCCATCTAGACATTGACTCAGTGAGAACCCATTTCTCTTCCCAAGCTTCACTTCTAAGGAATAGTCGAAATGTGGTCCAAGGTTTACTTTCTGGGCAACAACCCACTGGCTGTCTTGCTCTTTGCCCTTAGGGCTTGGCACAGAATGGGGCTACCTGGTGGGTGATGTAGTTGGCATTGGTAAATTATTTCCATGGGACTCTGCTCAGGCACTGGGATTGGATCTCAAATGTGGCCTCACCTGGGCTTAGGTGGGGTGTTACTGCCTCTTCTGACAAGCACAAAGAGGGCAGGAATGAGGCACTCCCCACCCCTATAGACAGTACGGTCTGCAGGGCGCCCAGCTCTCAGAGGTGGCTTTCTGGTGCAATGTGAGAGCTCCAAAGTGGAATGGGCACTGCTTCCTACCTGCCCATACTGTGATCTCAGAATGTATTTAGAGAAGAATGCTGAAGGTCACAGAGCAGCTAGGTTCTAGAACTCTAGAATGGGCCCCATATCTTCAGACTCCTTGTCCACACTGCTGCTTGGATTACACCACAGCACATCCAAATGTGTTTGAGCAAAGGGAGAGAAATAGAAGTCACAGAAGTCATTTTAATGATGACTTGGGGAATGTTTATCTTGGAAAGAAGAAGCTATGGGGTGGAATGGATGGAGAAACAGAGCCACCCCCTCAATCTCTGGAGCTCTTCTTGAGAAAGGGGGATTGTTAAAAGAGGACAGAACTGGGGTCCAGGGATGGGAGTCCTGAAGAGACACATTTCACTTCAACAGAAGAAAGAGCTTTTTGCTGGCTGCAGCTTGCTATTGGGCAGTCTGGATGGCTGGTGGACTCCCCACATGGGGGATGGAGGGCCTTTAAGCTCTCTGCCCTGGCCTCTGTGATGCAGTGTGCCTCCGAGAACAAGTGCTGCTGACACTGTTCCAGGACTGCGGGCCCCGCCCCTGCCAAGCTCCCAAAGTGTTCTTGGGTGGTCATGAGTATTGGACAAGGCACGGGGTTTCTGGCTCCTAGTTTTACCTACTCCATTCTGGTTGCCTCCTTGAATACACTGCCATCCAGGGATGGAAATTGGGATGGAAAAGGGTCCTCTCTGGATTTACAATGCCTTACTATATGTTCAGTGAACTTCTTTTAGGCTCAGCCTGAGTTCTTTATTTGGAATCGCACCCCTTCTCATTCCATGACCTTGCAAAGAGAACTGGCACTGGTCCCTGACCCAGGTGGAGGGAAAATCTGGGAATGTCTGTTTGGTTTTGGGGGTTACTCCCAGGAGCTAGAGTTTCTGGGGCCAAGATGGAGAGACTGAGCTAGCCTAGACCCCTGTTGTTGGCTTCCAGGATCAGTGAGAGGGTAAGAAACTGTGATGAGACTTCGGACTCTGTTGAGAGGTGGCAGCCAGAATGAGGTACTGGGGACCTCAGCAGTGTGGACCAGGCACTAAAATCTATGTTTAGTAAGGA